TTCAGAAGGATGCCTATCGATGCACGTAGCATCTTCATATAATGATTCCATCGTGCAGCTATGCATAGGTCAGGAGCATACAAACACTTGATGAACAAGGAGGACATGGAGAATTTGGAATGGCTAAAAATCTTTAAGTAAGATCACTAGTATCGATACAAAGAAGAAAACAGTCATTCATATGCGCACTTGTCATATGCCTCATTTTTTGTTTTCTTCTTCCTTTTCTTCCCCTACAGCAAGTATGATCTATACAGCAAGAGTAAGATCAGAGTCGATGTTGAGAAAGTCAAGCCGTATTACCTCTCTCTCATTGAAAAGGTGAGATCAAGTTTCTGAACTATTCCCCACCCCTTGTTCACGCATAGTACTAAATATGACTAGACAGTACAATGAATTACATTTTAACATACTATTGATATGTTTTTTGCAGTATTTTCCAGCAAAGCTAAGGTGGTAAGATGATGAATGTTTTGAGAAGTTAATGATATGCGATGATTATAGCAAGGTTTCCAGCAGAATAATGTACATATTCTTTGATGTTCTGCTCTCGGGTTTACCGGGTAAAAACAACATAAATATAAATAAAATATTTTTCGAGTGTGAACTGAGTATTGCAGCATTTGTTTGAAACCTTTTGAGTACCACGCTTCGAGTTGTTAGTTACTAACGTTTGTGTGGGCATTTTTTTTCCGAAATTTTCCCTTCTATTTGATATTTGATATTTAAAATATTTTGATTGTTAGAATCGTGAATTCTAACCACAAAATCGAATTTTAGTTTGATTCTATTTTTTTTCTTCTGATAATCTCTCAATTAAATCAACAATTAAGTTTACTTGTATGAATGTACATGAAATCAAACTATTGATTTGTTTTATTTATGCAATATTTAGAAACTGTGAAAATAATGTTTACGACCTTTCTCGAATAATGTTCGAACTGATTTTAAAACATCGGTAAGGATTAGGCAGATGCTGCAAATATAGGGCATGTTTGGTACAAATTCTCCTTTTCTATAGTAAATCAATTCTCATTTTCAACCACACATTTTTCAATAAAATAATATTTTACATCACATCAATACTTTTTTCTTCTTTTTTAACCACACATTTCCCATCAAATCACAGAT